TTTTGAAGCACCCTAGCACATCAAGAAAAGTGTACCAATTCTTACTGCAGATGTGGACGAGCTTTGACAAACTGAACACAATTTACTCTAGAAGAGAATGTTACCAGCTCCCAGGAGCCCCCACTCCCCTTTAGAGCCCCCCACACCACCCTGCAAACTTCTCCAACTCCCAGTAGCACAAAATTAACACAGAAGGAATCAAACAGCATTTGCTCTTTTGTGTCTGCTTCTTGGTTTCTTCTCAATCTTTGTGGGATGAACCGTTCACTTTTGCCTCCTGATTATTTTCTTGCTGAGGACAGGTACAGGACACCTGATGACATGCTCCCAACTTGTTCCTGCCTCTGTCATTGTGTCCTCTCCAGAATCACTCTTAGTCCACAGCAGAGATGTTCTCCACACAAGTTTTAATGTCTTGCTTTCTCGTTTTTTGTTTAGTCCTTTTGTTACAGGATTTATTTTTCAAAAGAGTGAAAACTGTTCTTTTCATGGAACACACAACTCACACTAATTGTTACATAAGCAAACCCACCTAAACACTGAATCAGTTGGGAATTTTTATAATCTGAGGTTTTCTGAAACTTGATTGTGTTCTCAAGATTTCCTATAGAAAAGGTTTTAAACAGTAAATCTGTTTTCATTTGAAATAACCCAGCCAGTTCTACTAAAAACCATTAAGCAGATTAAATGTGTCCTCAGCCCCCTGCTCACTCCAAAACCCTGGCTTTTTCAGTTGACACCTCCAACCTCCTCTCCCATCACCCTCCCCAGACCTTGCCCCAATTGCCCTTAAAGCTGAGCTCTCAAGAAACACTAAAGGAAAGATGACCGATAGAGCTTCAAGTATAAATAAAGTGTGTGTACACACACACACACACACNGAAAGATGACCGATAGAGCTTCAAGTATAAATAAAGTGTGTGTACACACACACACACACACACACACGCAAATACGCATGTATTAGTGATGAAAAAGTTGTAAGCTAAACAAAGCACTCATGGTGCAACTTCACATGTCACCAGGCAAGATGCACGTTTGGCCTCGTTCCTGCACAGTTGTTGGGTCAGCCGCCCGCACGCAGAGGGGCAGGCACAGGCAGCCCCGTGGGTGTCACCCCCCAGGGTAGAGGAAGCCTGGGCCAGTGTGGACGAGCCGGAAGTATGTGCCTCGCCAGCCCCGCAGAAGGCCTGCTGTGGACCTGGACCCTGGAACCCGGGTTGCCTGACCTTGCTGTCTTCAGAGAGGTGGGTGGACGTTTTCCACAGCAGAGGTGGAGGGGACAGGTCCTGGTACAGTGTCCCCCTCCCAAGAAGAACAGCTCCACACTGGGAAGAATCTGACATCAAGAGAGGGGAGAGTGTCCATCACAGTTCCTGCGACACAAAGCTGTCCGAGGAGACAGCACCTTGCACAGAACTTGAAGAACATGAGATTTTAGTAAAGCATCAGGACAACATGCAGAACTCGGTCTGAGGAGCCTGACACTCAGCCGATCCACATGTGAAACATAGAAAACCCCACGTCAAAAACACCAAGAGGGCCATCCGATGGGAAGGGCTGCGGAGGTGGCAGATCCAGGAGAAGGAGCGGGCGCGTTAACACGGGAGGAGAAAGGTGTCACCTGGGGGCAGAAGAGCATTTCTCTGACCTGAAGCAGAGCCTGAGCATGTGGACCGCGTGTTTGTGGCCCCCTCCCCAAACCATATGTTGAAGTGTAACTCCCAATGGGATGCTGTTGGAGATGGGGCCTTTGGGGGAGTGACTGGGTCTCACAATGGGACTAGTGCCCTTGCAGGGCAGACAGGAGAGCTTGCCTCCTCTCCCTGCTCTGGCCACCCAAGGGCACAAGAGAAGCCTGCCCGCTACAAGCCAGGAAGCGGCCCCCACCAGACGCGAGTCTGCAGGCGCCCTGTTCTCAAATTTCCAGCCTCCAGAACTGCACAAATAAATGCTTGTGGCTCAAGCTGCCTAGTCTCTGGAACTCTCTCCCCCGCCCCTCACGCATA